TGTTAGATCAGCATATTGAATTAGAATCATCGAGTACAATCCAAAATAGGAGTGGCGAGCCTTCTACAAAGTACAAATCCTAATAATCACCATCGTGTGCAAGCCTGCAGGCTGCAGGAACCTGCTGGATGAAGTCCGGCCATCCTGGCACAACTCAAACGCTACTACAAAAGTACAAGAAGAGCGTTTTCTAGAGTTGGCTATTTAGCTGCAGTGTTTGGACGGCGCTATATAGTCTATAGATGTTTTGTAATTTTTTCAATTGGTCCTTTTTTTATTTTTATGGACAAAATTTCAAGCAAAGATAGGAGGTAAGCAAATTATTATACGATGCCCACGAATCAAACAGTCGAATGCTAATTTATTCAATTGTTCCTCCTCATCTTAATTATGTCTAACAAACTGGTATGATCCAATTACTATTTTTTTGTAATATTTTGTATAAATATAATATAATAATAAATTAATAAAATACATACTAATTTATGCAACTTACGAAGTATAAAGAGTTAATTAATCAAATAATATTACGTGACTTTTGCATTACATTGTACAATATTATTAGAAGATTAAAAAAATAGTGCAATTCAATCATTTTTATTTTAAGAAAATAAGTAACAAAGAAACTAATAATAAGTTATATATTGAAGTAACTTTTATTTTTGGTATGAATATAATATCATAACCATAAAAGTTTTACTTTAAGGTACGTTCCGTTTTATAGCATTAAAAGTAATTGTCCCATCATATTAAGAGATTATATAAAAAATACTTCTTTATGTAAAAGTTAAATAGACTCTTTGAGTTACATGTTTTTAGCCCTAGTTTCTAATTTTTTTTTGAATGTGAAAGTAACTTTTTTAAAAACCAAAATACCTCTTTCAAAATCACATTTGATTCAATTTCAATTTTTAAATAAAAAAAAAAAAAAAGTCTTTTCAAATGTAAGAGTGAGTAAACAAACACTCCCAATCTCAAAACAATTGTTTTTTTAATTTTTTTTTCAAATTAAAAATTTTGACAGAATTTATACTTCTACTTATATTATTCTTAAAAAGAATATAAAAATTAAAAGAAACTTTTTTGCAATAAGATAACAGTAAGATAAATAAATAAAGTCAATGAATAACAATAAAATTAAAATAAAAAAATTCTATTTTAAAAAATTAAAAATAATTTTAAATACATTTAAAATAAAAAAATAATTATTTTAAAATAAAAAGAAGAAAGAGTAAGAATTAATATGGGCCACTCAACATCTCTCTTGAAGTCATTGAGTCTCATAAACAAGGGAACAGCATTCCATCCATGCACAACAGTAATGGGTCACAGCCCAAATTTATCTACATAAGGAAATGCATTTACAGTCTCATAACACTTGTTGGGTTGGGCCTATTTCCGCAAAATAATTGCTCAAGGAATTCCATTAACAGAGTCATCTAGAAGCATCCTCCATTAGCAATAGCAAAAAAAATAAGAAAGTGGCATCAATAATGGAAGATTGTATAGTTAGGTGAAGTGTTTTAAGCGTGGTAGTCATCATTAGCCATAGGGAGATGTTGTTTACCAATTATTAATTTGCGTGGAGTAGCCACTGGACCGACCGTATAATTGCTTGTGTAGAAACCTAAAGGAACTCTGTTTTCTAATTTTATTTGTACACAATGGCACTAATTTTTGTTTGATACAAAGTGCAGATTACACTGAAGTTTTTGAAACTTTCAGTTTAAGGGAGGGAATGTTGAGAAGATTCCCATGATCCAGTCGCACCTCTTAGTATTAGGAAATTGTTTTTGAAGTTCCCTAATGCTTGGTTATCTGTTAAGTTGTTATGTTGGGATATTTGTTAAGATTAGATTAGGTTGTTATCATTTATATTTGTTAGGATTGTTGATTAATTAGTTTAGATAATATTATTTTGTAAAGCTTATTTAAAAGCTATTTTATTTTGATTTTAAGGAGAGCGTGATTTCTATTCCCATTATCTTTTTCTCTTCTTAACAGGATGAAGGTTTCATCCGGATGGCAGAATGGATAAGGGAGGTTACAACCAGGCAGTGCCCTTTTCCTTTTCAAATTTTCCTGATGATTGGAATCAGGAACAGATATGGAGTACGTTTCGCAGGCCTCCTGTCTCTGCTACTGACCCAATTCCAAGACCTTTCACTTAATCGATACAATCCTTCAGTGGCATTTTTCAAGTTTAAAGATTAACCCTCTAGGCATGAAAAAGTCTACCCTGTGCTACTTAAAACACGCACCCCATGCATGTGTTACACGAACAGAACAAAAGAAAGTTCCCAAAATTAGCTACCTTCCTATTACAAAATATAAGACAATAATCGATACATCTTTTGATTCAACTTAACTAATAACATCTATTGGTTCAATAATTAAGAAATTAATATTTTTAAATTTAAATACAAAGAAAAAAAATTTAAATGACTGAACTAATAAGTATTTTTAAATGTGTGAAATCAGAGGGTGTACCAATCATTTTTTCATAATGTATGTTGTGCAAATCTTGAAGCAAAGAATGAGAATATACTAGGCTTTGAATCATAGGCCAACTCTGTTTATTTATTTATTTATTTATTTTTTTATTTTTTAAGGCAAACCATAATTTTATTAACTTTAAAATATTAAATATTCAAGAGATACTCAACCCATACATAGCAATTGAATCAATTACATTCAATCATAGGCCAACATTAAATATCATAAGTTTATCTAATTTATACCTTTAAGACAGATTAAAGATGCAATAAATTTAATTTTTATGACTAATTTATATTAAAAATAAGAAAATTAACATTTATTTTAACATTATTGATACATATATAATTTTAATTAGTTATTAAAATAAAATCAATATTTACACTTTTTATAAAAATTAATTGTAAAAATATATATTTATTACTGTTTCCTTAAAAATCCTCAAATTGCTTCACACATGTAAATCTGGATACAAGCATATCACTTACTTTTTGGAAAAGCAAGAAAAAAGATTTTCCCAATAACCTTTTCCTTCTATGCAATCAACGTCCGTTAGGATGGCTGGAAGAATGTTGGTTTAAGTTTGAGTTTTGCGCAGTGAAGTTAATACCATACCGTATCGACCGGTACGTACCGGTTTTGACACTTGACCGAAATGTACAATATCAATTTTCGTTTCGATTAAATTTCGGGCGTTTCAGTCAAATTCCGGTATATCGGTCGAAATTTCGATGTACCGGCCGGTTCACCGAAATTTCGGCCGGTACACACTGCAAATTAAAAAAAAAAAAAGGATTCCCCTAGCCCAAAACGACGTCGTTTTGGGCTAAGGGCTTTTCATAACCTGCAACTGTGTCCGTATAACTCAATTCAAAT